TTTTATTTTTAACTTTTAGTATGTAACATAGACTTTAATTTAATATATTTTCGGAAAAATGGAGTAATTCTAGAAAATGTTGAAAAAGTAAACCTTTCATGCAAAGTAGTTTTTTCGAATCCCCCTCTGTGCGCAGATAAAGGGACAGGTTTTTAGAAAATAAATACACAATAAAAAGGAAATACTTAAAATACTTATTATAAAATTATTCTGAGTCATCTGTTTTTCAAAATATTATGACTTTTTAAAGAAAAAAAGTTTTAAAAAAACACAGCACAGAGGAGTCGCGGTAAAGTGGTGACGTGGCATAATTGGGTCAAGTATGATATCTGACAGTGATTAAAATCAATATAAAAAAAACGCTTCAATGCAAATCTTTTGATAGTGTTTAATTTTAAAAAATTGATGGATTATTCCAAAAGCTACATCATCTTCTATTTCCTTATTAATATCCTGATTAAGATAAAGTATGTCGAATGAAAAAGGGATTANGTATGTCGAATGAAAAAGGTATATAAAATTATTTCTCATAAAAAAATTATATTGATCTATACATTTTTTAAAAAGTTTTTTGTATAACTTGTCATTATTAATCCCTTTATATGGTCAGATAAAGGATAAGATTTCTAAAAAAATACCAAAAGATAGGTAAAGACTTCATGTATCTAAATAAAAAAAAATTTTATTGAGCTGGCCATTTTTAAAAAAGTTATGGGAGTTTTAAGTAAAAATAACGGTAAAACAGTGGGGTCGTAGCTTAATGCGGACGAGGCATAGATGGGGCAATTATAGATGATATCTGACAGTGATTAAAATCACTATCATTAGAAACGCTTCGATGTAAATCTGTAGATAGTGTTTAATTTTAAGAGATTAGTAGATTATTTAAAAAGCAACCATAACTNATGTACCGCCAAATTTGGGTTAGCAAGGATCACCAAGATTTACAACGAGAAAACAAACATCAACAATACAACCAAAAGAGCGGTGTTGTAGTCGATCGCTTCCATTTTCGATCCTCTTGGTCTTATTGGTCCAATAATTATTAAAGCAAAATTAATTATGCAAAGGTTGTGGCAATTTAAATGTTGTTGGGATGACTTATTGCGAAATGAATTACAGCAGGAACGGCTAAATTATAAGAACTCGTTGATGCAAATCGAAAAAATTGAAATACCACGGTGTATAATTGGACGTAATCATGTGCAGTCAGTTCAAATTCATGGATTTGCCGACGCGTCTGTTCACGCATATGGATGCTGTGTGTACTTAAGGGCAACTGACAACAATGATGNGTCTGTTCACGCATGTGGATGCTGTGTGTACTTAAGGGCAACTGACAACAATGATGTTTCATGTATTCGGCTAATCGCAGCGAAGTCAAGAGTAGCTCCTTTGAAAGTAATCTCTTTGGCTCGATTAGAACTATGTGCGGCCGTTTTACTTTGCCAGCTAGTAGAAAAAATCGTGAACAAATTAAATTTAAATGTAAGTAAACGTTATTTTTGGTCCGACTCGACTATAACGTTAGCTTAGATAAAATCGTCATCCAACAGTTGGAAAACATTTGTCGCACACCGTGTTGGAGAAATACAGTCATCAACGGCGATAAATGAATGGAATCATGTTAGGTCTGCTGAGAACCCAGCTAATAAGAAGAGGCTGTACACCTGATCAACTTTGTTATTTAAAACTTTGGTGGGAAGGCCCTGATTGGTTATGTTATGATGAGAAAAATTGGCCTTTGAGTACGATAGAAGCGCCGCCTCTACCTAAGGAAGTACCTGAACAAAGAAATTCGGTGATGATAACCGTTACAACAGGTATGAAAAATTTTAATTTAATACATCGTTATTCGTCATGGATGAAATTATGTCGTGTGACATGCTATTGTTTGCGGTGGTTAATAAGACAATTCGCAAAAAACATTTTCCTTCAACGTCTATTGATGTATGGGAAATTCAAGAGGCTCAAATTGTTTTAATTAAATTGGAACAGAAAAATTATTTTTCAGAGGAAATTAAAATATTACAAAGTAAAAAACTTTTGCAGCACGGCAAATTAGTTCGACTGCTTCCGTTTCTAGATGAAAATAATGTGTTAAGAGTAGGCGGTCGGTTAAATAAGTCAACTCATATCAGTGATGAACAAAGAAATCCAATCGTACTACATCCTAAGTCATTTATTACTAATTTAATACTTCGGTACGAACATCAGCGTTTGCTTCACGCCGGTCCGCAAGCACTATTAGCTGCCGTGAGAGAAAAATTTTGGCCGTTAAATGGACGAAATCTAGCCAGAAAAATTGTACACGAATGTGTAGTTTGTTTTCGTTCTAAGCAGACTGTATTTACACCAATTATGTCCGATCTACCAAAATCACGCGTAGAACCAACTAGAGCTTTTCAAGTGAGTGGTCTAGATTATTGTGGTCCTGTTTTAATAAAATCAAATTTAAATTCGAAAAGCACCTAAATTAAAAGCTTATATTTGTGTTTTTGTTTGTTTTTCGACAAAAGCAGTACATATCGAGCTAGTTAGCGATTTGACGTCTGAGAATTTTTTAGCCGCTCTGCGTCGATTTACTGGTAGACGGGGATTATGTACAGCACTTTATTCAGACAACTTCACTACTTTTACTGGTGCAAATCGACAATTAATTGAATTGAGCAAATTTTTAACTTCTCCGGAGAACATCGAAAAAATAAGAAAATTTACAGCGGAGCTTGGCATTCAATAGCATTTTATTCCGCCGAGAGCACTTCATTTCGGGGGCTTATGGGAAGCTGCCGTAAAATCTGTTAAACATCATCTTGTCCGACAACTTGGAGATGTTTGTCTGACGTACGAAGAAATGAACACTGTTCTTGTTCGTATAGAAGCGTGCTTAAATTCTCGTCCTCTTACACTTTTGTCGTCGGATCCAACGGATTTAAGGGTTCTCACTCCAGGTCATTTTTTGGTGAGTGGACCGTTAACCAGTTTGCCTGAAAAAGATTTATCGATTGTCCCATCCAATCGACTCAAAAGATGGCAATTAACAATTCAATTAACTCAACGCATTTGGTCGAGATGGAGTACAGAATATTTGAGTCAACTTCAAGGACGAACAAAGTGGCAGTCCCCTCAAGGTGTGTCCATAAAAAAGGACATGCTAGTTCTAATTAAAGAAGATAATGTACCAACAATGAAATGGCATATGGGACGTGTTAAAGAACTTTTCACTGGAACGGATGGTGTGACTCGAGTGGTGAATTGTATACGGAAACTAGTTTGCTTAAAAGGGCCGTTAGATATGTATGTCCTTTGCCAATAGAAGATGAATAATTTTTTTTTTTTTTAAATAATTTTTGATAAATTTTGATTCGCTNTCCTTTGCCAATAGAAGATGAGTAATTTTTTTTAAAAAATAATTTTTATAAATTTTGATTTGTCAATATCAACTTATATATTATTGTGTATTTAATTTATCAATGAATTAATTTTGATTTGTTAAAGTCATTTTATATATTATTGTTTAAGTAATTAATTAATCTATTAAGTCATGTAAAAAAAATTTTTTTTGTTTTGCTTGTCATGTTTATTTAGTTATAAGAAATTGAGCGTTGATTGTATATAAATTTATTAAGGTCCTGTTTCTTATTGATCAATTATTTGATTTGTTTATTGATTTATTAATTTTTTTTTTTTCGCACAATAAGTCCGAAATATTTTTTTTGTAAAATTTTGTCGCTAAACTGATTTAAAATTTTTTAAATGTATTTTTTGTATTATTTTACGGCAATCGTAAAATTCCGGGCGGTATGTTACGTACTAAGTAGGGATATTATTACGACGAGCCGACGAGCGCGCGACCGACTTCCTGTTTAATAAAGTAAATTTTTCAAATTAATTAGAGTGTTCGTGTTTTAAATTTTTAGTTTAGATACCCGCTCTGAAAATTAACAGTGTTCTTCAGCGATGGACTAACCACCCGTTTCGGAGTATAAATGTTTGAAAAACCTCCTCCTTTTGGGGAAGCTGCTATAGCTCTTAATGGGCTGATAAAGCGAAAAAAAATGGTTTTAGTGTATTGACATATATTTATTTCATGGAGCTGTTTTCGGTTTTTTTCTTTTTCAAATTATTTTTGTATCATGTGCACTTAATAAAAAAAATTTCTAACGTATTTTTTTCTGTATCTATGGACCAAGATTATCAAGAATTATTAGTCCTATTTAGCTTAATGATAATTAAATCTATAAATACATAGTCTGTGTTATTATTATTACCACTGGTGAGTAACGATCGTTAATCCATGTGCAACCGATGTGTATGAATTTTCTATCTATAAAACTCAAATTGAATACAGATGTTCCCAGCATATCAAAATCGGGTTGAGATGGATACCGCGTGGATATTTTAACATTTTTTACACCTGCACTTATGTTCATATTGAATATCGCACTAATATACTTCACTAATCACACACGATTAAGACATACGACAACACAATAGGAGTTTTCTTACGTTCGACCTCGATTTATAGATATTTCTGAAGAGGGTGGGGAAGGATTTGANAAATATTTCTGAAGAGGGTGAGGAAGGATTTGAAATATGG